TGAAGTCAAGGTAGACTACATCCACGGCTCTCCCCTCGTCCAGCCAGCCTGTCACCCCATCATAGAAGGCTATGAGGTTCGTCAGACTCCTACTCTGGAGGTCTTCAAAACCCGCCTGGATGCCACCCTGTGCCACATGCTGTAGGTGTGCCTGCTTGAGCGGGAAGGTTGGACTAGATGATCTGTAGAGGTCCCTTCCAACCTTGAATATTATGTGATTCTGTGATTCTGTGAGTYTGGCCCCTTAGCAGGTAYTTTGCAAATATATCAGTTCTTTAGTGAGTTGGCTCTTTCTTTTCAAATGTTAGGGAAGGGACATGCTTCCACATGACTTCCCCTTTCCTTTGTTGTAGGGGAAAGCACCCAAAATCTCACCTTCCATTTTTTGACAGGCTTTCCTGCCATCCCTGATAGGCTTTTCTGTTGTCTGGCTGTCATGTCAGCAGAGCTCTGCAGGTCTCATGCACTTCAGCACTTTTGTTGTTAACATTTTACTGACCCATCACGCATATAAGGCCTTTGATTTCTGTTAAGAATTTCATACTCTATTATTTCTTTCAGTCTTTGTTTTAAAATTCCTTGTGCTTGCYTTCTGCATTTGTTCATTAGAAACTTTTAACCCTGGACCTTTTTTCCTTTTTCTTTCTTTTTTTTTTCCACTTCCATACTAAATAAGTAAGTTTATTTGTTAAACRAATTCATCTTCATAAGACCCAGTGGTACATCACATTTATGTAAACGTTTGCAGTACATCCAATTCACTTTTTTAGGAAGGACCATATGCAAAGTATTCCTAGAATCAGAGGAACATCTTCCAGGAAGCATTATTCCTTCTGTCTTTTTTTTTTAAAATTTATTTTTACTTATTTTTTATTATTTGCTTGCTCGACTGACATCTAATTAAGAATAATTACTGGAAATATCAGTAGTGAGGTTTAGAGGCCTGCAAATTTCTTTCTATTGGATTGAAAAGGTAAGAAATGCTCCTGCAAAGAGATCTGCAAAACTTCTGTGGACAACTTTAAAAAACAATTATAACCTGAAGAACACTAATCAAAGTCACTGCTATATCATGGTTTTCTTATGTATTTTTTAATTTGTAATTTTTAATGGTTCAATGTGCACACCACCGAATCAAAACTGTCAATAATTAGGTCCTGTATTGACAAATGCAGGCAAAGAAACTAAAGGTTTAATTGTTTTATAAATTGTTTGGTCATACTTGATACTAATTAATTTTATAGTAAGAAAGTGTTAAGGATTATTCTAAAGCTTCTTTTAATGTTAATTTGGCCAGGCTTTCTTCCCAAATTGCATGAGACAGCTGACACCTTACTGTTCTTACGGTGTTGTGGGAAGCTCTGCTAGGAAGAGTTTTTTTCTGGAGAAAGCCATGTGTGTTTGCTTTAAGTATCATTGTAGCTAAAATAAGGATGTGTTTTAGGCAGGATTATCTGACAGTATTTCCAAAAGGCAGTYGCACTGATGTCATGCTCCTTTCTACAGTTCACACAGACTTATACAGTTCTCAAAGCAGTAGTTGAGTTTATAAGTTGGAATAACTACACATGGGTGACGCAATGTTGTATGGAAACTTGCCTTTATTTTGAATCAAATTCACTCAGTCTTAGACTACACAGCCTATACTCTTAGAAGCTCCTGTTTCCTCTGTCCTCAGATCCACCCTGCTGAGTAAGAGATCCACCCCTGAGTAAGAGATTAGAGATTTAGCTCCCTCTACCCCATGAATGGCAAAGCCAAACTCCAGTTTGGCGGGTAGAGAAAAGATGAGGTTGCAGTTGCTCTTCTGTATGGAAGGGAGAGCAGGTAGGATAGGAAAAAGCAATGGTCCTGCTGCAGGCCTCCATGGAGATGAGTCCTTCCTCTCTCCCATCTTGCAGGTGCACATACAGCATACAGCACATCTCCTGAGCTTGCATGCTTGTGAATGATCTGCTGCTTTCTCATGCAAGAGGCTCAGCAGTTATTGTAAGAACTTTGCTGTTTCCTTGAGAATGGGAAATGAGTGATCTAAATGGAAAGAGCTTTAACTAAAAAAGAAAAGAAAGAAAAACCTTGTCTCTGTGCTGCCAMCTGAACAGCATCAAGTGGTTAGTGAAGATCTATTAGAGATGTTTCAAAATAACAACAAAAAAATCATTTGCAGACTTACAAGCATTAGTCACCTACTTAAATATGAAAGTGTTTCCCTCAGTTGAGCTCCCTGTTTGAGTTGAGTAGTTTTAGATCTGGTCAGTATGGAGGGATGGGGACCATGGATTCAATAGTGTCCAGAGTCAACTTTGAAGCAAACTTAGAATTTTACCCAAACTCAGTCTGTTCCCTGGAAAAACTGATAAAATTACCAATTCTCTTTTTTCATTCTCAGGCACTGCTCCTCCATAGTTTTGACCCAGATGGGGAAGTGTCACAGTATCACAAGATTTTTTTTCCCCCGATTCTGTCTTCCAAAATTCATGTAGAGGAAAACTTTTCCTAGYGTGACTACTTGTGTAAGTGGGGTGACAAAATCTGGCTCTAGTGTTTCCAAGTCAGCTCAAAGGAAGTTTCATAAAGGAAGTTTGATCGTATATGTCTGCATAAGCCCAGGCAACTACTGAAAGAGGCAATGATTGCTGTGGGAGTCACCCAGCACTCTTAAGTCTTATTGCAGCTTGTAAGATATAGGCATTTAAAGCAGGCTGGTCCAGCATGTCTCAGCACCTTTAGTGGTTTAGTTACCACTAGTAAGTAAAGACTATGCATCATTTTGTCAAGCATGCTATCTTGTATTTAGCATTTTTATATGTTGACTACCTTTTATATGTTGGCTTTTATTTAGATAAGAGAACAAAATGCTATGCTTTATTTTGAATGTACTTATCATTTTTATTCTTTGACAGGTTTTCTCTCTGCTCTGTTATTTTTCACAATTCATCTTGAATCATCAGCCTGGACCTTAGGACTGTTCTTGACCAYTCCAGTTTGCTGCATTAAGTGCACCATGGTGCTTTGGTGCTTTTCAACATCCAGGAGAACACATTATTGCTGCTATAAAGAATGTGGACATAAACACCAGCCTTCACATTTTTATCCCTGAAATATTTCCCACCTCAGAAAAAAAAGCTGTATACTATTGAATAAGGTCCCAGAACATAATTTAGAAGCACCAGCAGCAGGAAAAAAAAAAGAAAAAAAATTCCTGAATTGGGAGAAAAGACATGCTTCTTGAACATTTTTCATTTAAATCAGGGAGATATATAGAAGCAGATATTTGTATGATACAGTTGATGTATGACAGGGTACTAAATGGAGAGTCTTCAAAAGTCAGCTCCATCTGCCCCAAATCATCGTGACTCTCTTAGTAGGCTATATTTTGTAGGGAATCACTGAGCACGTGAATGAGCTTTCCCAGCCCTAAACTCTTTTAAGCTGCATATTTCTCCTGAAGTGAAGGGTGGAGGCAGTGTAGTCCATAAGCTGTCTAGAAAGCATTAAAATACAATTTCTCATTTTTATGTGACTGTACGGTGGCACACAGAAATCTAATGTTCCTTGTAATTTATGTTTTTCTATTTGCTTGAGCAAATAATTCTGTTTGTATTTAGACATACACAGTTTTGAATGCACAGTAGTGCAAGTCACAAGCCATTTTATCTACTAACCTTTCCATCTTAAATGAATGATATATTTTGTCAATATCTTGAATTTGTGAAAAATACAATGATTTTTGAGTTAAAATGTTATTTTAGAATATTGAAAAATGATTATTAAAAGTTATTTGTTTAAAACAGAAGAGTATCTGTTTTGTGAATTTATTTTTTGCGAAACACCAGAGAGGGAACTGCTCTGGTATTTCTCTTGCAAGAGGAATGTCACAGGTCAGCATAAGTGATTTGCACAGTTGATGGATCAATGTTGTGAGCCTTTTTGCATCATCTAAGTTATTCCAAGTGAATAGTCCYGATGGACATCCCTAGGGCTCTGCATCCATCATATACATGCCTGTGTGTTCGCACTAGCAGGACAACTATCAGGCTTTCATCTTTGTGGCTGCAGTGTAACTCTGAAACTTTCATCCTTCATCATCCCAACGGTGGCAGTGACTGGAGGAGGAGGAGGCTGAAAGCTCTTGGTTCAGTTCTGCACTCCTCTGCTAGCTTATTTTGAGAGCTCAGCAAGATATATAACTGCYGTGTGCTATTTTCCAGTCTGCCATTAGAGGTGGATAGCATCTATCTTATTAGCACACTGTGGGATTTCATCCAGCAATATCTGTGCACTGCTTTGAGATTTTTCTGCTGAAGATGGTTTTACTGTTGCTCCCCATTCACCTGCGCTGCAACATAAATAGGAGGTTTCTGAGATCAGTTGGTTCCCTAAAATGACTTTTTAACTCTTGATTGAGATTTAGTGATTTATTTACTGATGGCCAAAGGTTTTTGCAGTGGGGTTGTCTTAATAACCTGCAGGCCTGGAAGAATCACTTTGGCATCTTTACCAGCCAGGGGTATAGTGTATATATATACTCCATATAATGCTCTGCAACAGATGAATTAAACTTCGGTTTTGAAATGCATGAAAAAGTTGRCTTGTTTTTTAGCTGCAAGGCAAGGAGGTATGTTGAAGATAGTTTTCTGTCGGAAGGAGTAGCTGGGAGCAACCAGAGTTTTACACAAAGCAGAGGCAGCAGTGAGGAGGCGCTTTCCCACCTTGCACATCTCCTGAAGTCCTCTGGCAAGCTGCTCACCTTCAGTTCAATCAGAAGGGGAAAAGCACATTTCTAAYATAGATCTCTGCAAAGTGTTTTCTGTACAGACAGGTTTGTGCTTTTCTCTGCAGGCTCTAAGATGCATGAAGTGACCTTGCTTCTTTTAGTGGGATTCCTCTAATGATATTTGTGTTTCTGCTACTTCAGTTCATGTCTAGGTAGTTCAGGTTTTCATGGGAAAAATCAAATATTAGATATGAAATTTGCTTTATTTTCGCTCAGATCTGGGAGAAAGACGTGGCATTGTAATTCTCTTTCTGGACTTTGTGAGATAGGCTGTTTTCCTTCATCTACAAAAAAGGAGTTGTTTGAGTTCACTTGTGGCATAGCAGCAGTTTATCACAGGAGAGAAAGAATTTAGAAAATACCCAATGCAGGAGGCATTGGAAAAACAAGAATGCCATTATTTAATTTATGTCATTTTTTTTTTTTAAAAAAGAAAGGTGAGTGCTCTACCAGCTGATCAGAAGTAGGTTTTGAGGTTGACACATAGAAGAAGGAAGTCTCTTCTTCTGCCCATGAAGGTACATATAACGCTGATATATGAATATATATGAATAATTAATATGAACATATTAACTTATGTAATAACTTATAGACCCTAAAATGGACTTTTTGAATTTGTAGCAAGGCAGTCACTRAAAGCAGCATCCCATACTCTGTATTTTTCTCTAGTGTTATACTGACTATGTGGAAACCCCAAGAGCTTCAGGGCAAAGAGAAGTAGCACTTCCCTCYCCCCATAATAAGGCAAATGGGATCCTGGCCTGCATCAGGAGGATGTTGCCAGCAGGTCAMGGGAGGTGATTCTGCCCCTCTACTCTGCTCTGGTGAGGCCTCACCTGGAGTACTGTGTGTAGTTCTGGGCTACCCAGTACAAGAGGGACGTGGAACTTCTAGAGAGGGTCCAGAGAAGAGCAACTAAGATGATTAAGGGAATGGAACATCTCTTGTATGAAGAGAGGCTGAGTGAGCTGGGCCTGTTTAGCCTGGGGAAGAGAAGGCTGAGAGGGGATATGATTAACATGTATAAGTTCAGGAAGGGAGAATGCAGGGAAGAAGGGGACAAGCTGTTTTCATTGATGGCCAGCGATAGGACRAGGGGTAATGGCCATAAGCTGGAGCACAGGAAGTTCCGTCTCCAGGTGAGGAGSAACTTCTTTACTGTKAGGGTGACAGAGCAGTGGAACAGGCTGCCCAGGGAGGTTGTGGAGTCTCCTTCTCTGGAGGTCTTCCAAACCYGCCTGGATGCCACCCTGTGCCACATGCTSTAGGTGTGCCTGCTTGAGCAGKAAGGTTGGACTAGATGATCTCTAGAGGTCCCTTCCAACCTTGAATACTCTGTGATTCTGTGATAATCCCCATCCTGAGGTTGTCAGCCATCCTGCTAGACTCTTGGGAATACAGCAAGTAGCAGAGATACAAACYTGAGATGACAAATTGCTTTGCTTCTTACAGAGATGATCTATCAGCCCTAGCTGGTCAAGAGCCTATGTGTGAAAGTATTTTGCCTGTAGGTGCAAAATGTATGAAGTTGCAAATCCTAATCTGTAGGCAAAAGCCACTTGTTACTGAGGATAATGTTCAAATAATTGATTGAATTTATTTAGTGAGTCTTAAATTTGCTCTTTAGAGCAGTAGGACATGTCAAGCAACTTTATCTACTTAGTGCTTAAGCTCAGTCCTTTAACCTTGATGGCCCTGTGGGATGGGGAATGCAGTTTCCTAATATCTCTTTTGTTCTAGAAGAGAGGCTGGAGGGCAGCGGTCACTGTTGTAAGGTTGTCATGCTGAAATTCTTTTTTATAGGCAAACAGGAAGCACACCTTGTATGCCAATATAACCAAGAATTTATTGTTAGTATCACTGAAATCTTAAGAAGCTAATCATTATTAGTCCAGATCTAAATATAACTTCTTAGTTTCAATCCTTTTTCCTGATGTTATATCCACTCTCCCATTGCTTCTCTGGRTTCAAGGATTGGTAGCATCTCTCTGGTAGCGCTTATGTGGGGATGCTATGGTGAATCATTGCAATGTAGAGTCATTGTGTGGGAGGAATAGGAATGTTTGTCTTGACAATTTCTCTTTTCTCCTTCTAGGGTCAACTTTAGGTGATTTTTTAAATGTTTCCTAACATACTTTTACATCTTTGCTCTTCACTGCTCTGCATCTCTATATTTAGATTTATTATAGATGTAGATTTATTATAGATTTAAATTTATGGTTCCCTTTCTSTATGTTAGATACTCTTTCTTTGTTTTCTTTGCTTCCCCTAAACCCGAGTATGTCCAGCTCTAGGTCTTCATTTCTTTTAACATACCATGGATGATTTATAGCTGTGGAGTGACCTGTGCCAGCCTGTACCCCATCTCTTATCACTGYATACCTGCACTCCTCTCACTCCTCTACAAGCATCCTGTGTCTCTGTTTATCAAGGACTTCAATATCTTACCATTCCTCTACTCTCTATTGTTGTGTTAGTCATAAATACCTCATTCCACACAGAAGAACAGCTTGCTATTGCTACTTATATAAAGCTAGGATTGTACCATAAAAAGGGAAAGAAAAATGAAACAAATTAGCTATAGACACCTGGTCAATTAGAGAAATTGCTGTCACAGCTAAACCAAAGTAAAACAAACATGCAGGCAGGCTGAAAAAGGTATAGTCAGAACAACCCTGACAAATCTCAGACCTGAGACCTTGCAAACTCAATACAGTGCTGGAGGCCTGTTAGTAACAATGGCAATACCAGGCATACAATATCACCACACTACAAGTTTACAGATTGTCCAAAATTCTGGGAGATTGGGAAAAAATATGATGTTATTTCTTTAAGGGACAGGAGCTAAGTGCTTTGTAGCAAAGAACATACCACAGAGAGATATTAGCAGGGATAAAGATTAGAGATACTACCAGGAAAGGAGTAGTTTTGTTGAGGCTGTAAGGAGCTTTTGATTTCAGAAGGGTGCAGACATGCTAGACACATCTGTAGGAAACCAGGTCTCACTAGTTCTGCTGCCCTCAGCACCAGGAGCCCAAGRGCTGTGAGACTGAGAACTGCAGGGAGCAGAGCTGGGCCACCATTGCAGTGAGAGGTCTCCTTCAGTTTGCTGCCCATCTTTGAACCAAGCTGAGGCTGATCTCTCCCATGTGTGCACAGCTTCTCATCTATCCTTATTTCTGCTGTTTCCAGGTTGGGTCTATGGTGAACCCTGTTGAAATCTGCCCATTGCCGCCCTGTCTTGGTCATCCACAAGCGTCCAGGACACAGTGTGGCCTGTGGAAAGATAGAGGAGATAGTAGTGTCTCTGTGCTGCTATTGCTGGCATTGCTGGAAGTGGATGTGGGTGAGCATGGGGAACCCATAGGCAACATTTGGGTTTGGATCTTGCCTACAGAGGCAGATCTCTGCATCTATACTAAAGGCTATTTGCAGTCAGAGTTTTTCCATG